AAWACAGTTTAAATATTTAAATAAAGTAATCTGTATACTAATGCTTCGCTTTAACATAGATTTTAGTACAGCTAAAAATATGTACCATACACTCAGCTGTATATCACAGTGATGGCCCAACTTGATCATTAAAAATTTGGGGGTCTGACAAGGATCAACACAAAAAAGGTCCACACCTTAAATTTTTACACCCCAAAAAATCTATGCAATACAAATTATAATTAATATATACCCCCAGTACGGTGGACCGTATAGTCATTCATCCATCATGCTACATTTAGGTGGGGTTAACCTATTGTATTTTATGTTATCGATTGCATGTGCTTACACGTTAGGCAGGGATAGACATACTGGGGTATGGCTATAACCTTAACTCTAGAGGTGAAGTTGACTGTAAGTCTACCAAAATGTAACAGGGTATTATATGACTGTGATCAACCTACAGACCCTTCCTCCAAAGCTCATAAAGTCTTTTGGAAAGGATGCATAAAATACTTAATATAACAATGCACACCTTACATAATACTGGGCGAGAAACTGATGGAGTGTCAGCATSGGAAAGACCGCAATGTTGCTGCAAAAAAGAAGTACCATGACCACGTACTAGTATGTATCTAGAGAAACAAAACGAAAAAATTAATCCCACAACAATTTGCTTTTAAAATATTTATATGATTTTATGCCATGACTAATTAATTAGATGATACAATTAACATAAATTATGTTTAAGTAACAATGCGCTAAAGAACTAGGGAACTCTCTATTGTTCTGCYGCATAGCAAGTTCCCCATGTACGAATGTCTTGGTTTTCACACTGATTATATATCAACCTATGGGTAARGCATTTTTAAAATAAAATGTGGATAAACTCTATTTTGAAACAAAGTTTCTTTTGTATTAAAAGCTCTTATCCAATCATAAGCACTCAAAACAATAGCCAAAAGATGCTTCTAATTTGCAATGTTCCCCACATAGAATTGTCTTAATATTGAAGCTAAAGAAAGCTTTCATGAAAGCGAAAACAGACAT